GCCCATTACAGCAATAGGTGGTCCTGGACCCAGAGTTATACCTGTTACCCAAGAAACTGTTAATATTTAATTAAAAAAAAAAAGACAAAGACCGGCAAAGTTGGAACAATTGGATGGGTAAGGGGTATGTGTAGGGATTTGGTGTGGAGTACAAAGGTGAACAGGGACTGTGGGGAATATGGAGTACCTTACTCCATTCCTTTCTTTCCTTTCTTTCATCATCCCCTGTGGGAGATGCTGGTGATTCTTTCGGGGTTTCTCCAAGGCTACTATCATTTTTGCCCAACATGGTTCTCCATCTCTTACCTTTTTCCTAGGTAGCAGGTATCAAGGGGATATTCCTGGCAAACAAGAAGGTGGATGACCAGGTGAAGACATACATCACTTACAACAAGGGCAGGGATTGGCGTCTACTACAAGCTCCAGATGTGGACCTGAGAGGAAGCCCCGTGCACTGCTTACTGGTCAGTTATCAAGTCCTTCCCTGGGAATACTGCTTCAAGGTCTCCTTCCAGTATTAGGTCTTAGGAACTTGATCTTGGTGCTAAGCAATGTTGGGAGCACAGGTCTGCAGGCTCAGACCATTACACCAACTGTATGGAACACTCAGTGGATTTCATGGATTTTGATTTACAATAGCCAATGTCTTATAGCTGATGGTAATAAAAAGATGTGGAAAATGAGCCTTCACTTATTAATAAAAGTCCCAGACAGAATGCAGTAGGGCTAACCCATCTGTTGATTTCTAGTTTGTTTGGTGCTGCATAGATGTCAGGGTAAGCAAAGATTACCTTGGAAACCCTGGATGATCAGACAGGACTGTCTACACAGGATCATCAGTTAACCTGTTAGCTTCTGAAGGTCCTTGCTGTGTGAATAATGAGGCAGACAGTGTGAAGTACATGATGTGTAAGGTGACATCTCTGCCTCAAGGTGCCTTAACTTAAAGTGTTGAGGAAAGATAATTGACAGTAACACAACCATTAGTTCCCTGTTAGTAAATGCTTAAACCAGAAGCCATTCTAAGATCTCAGATATGTGATTGCGTTTATCTTCAGCCAAAAGTTGCCTTCTGCCATGTGTTCAAAGAGATGTATCAGCCACATGACTTCTAGACACTGTTAAAATCTAGAGGTGTAGTCGAGTCTAGGTCAGTCAGAGCCACGAAAATTTTGTGACTTTCAGTCCAATTCTACACTTTGATGTGTTTAGCGTTTGTTGTGGCTTTGGGTTGGATACGAGGAATGTCACACAAATGGCTGCCTACCCATTGGAACAGCTCACAAAATCATTGGTTCTCTTTTTGCTGCTAAACCTCGGTGATGACCTCATCTTGCTCTCTTCACCTAGTTTTCTCCTTATTTCAGCTTGTCTTCATCATATTTAGTTTCATTTTATAGGCTTAACTATATATACGTCCAAATCCCTTTTATACAGGCCATAGGAAAGGAATAGCAAACAGTTCAGTGTTCAGTGAATTTCAGATAATGGCTTAAACTATTTTAAGTAAAATTATAAGCAGAATCAAAATATACAAACACATAGATATAGCCTATAGCTTAAGATGGTGGTTGAGAACCTGGACATAACCTCTCTTCATTCTCCCTGGTGATCCCTTAGAGCTCTAATAAGCAGGTTTGATGGCTACCAACAAATCTGGAAGGACATTTGTCATCCTTTGTTAAAGAAAGGACTAGAGGGCTCCTGGAGCTAACTATGCACAAGACCTTGAAGACTAGATTGATGGCATAAGAGGCATTTGATATGAGTGAGAGCAAGCAAGGAAGAAACTATGAGTGACGTCTGGGGCAGCTGCTAATGTGAAGTACTGGGTACACCAGGAAGGTGGATCTCAGTTTAGCACCCATCATTGCTGTTCCTAGATGGTATGCTTCTGCAAGTCTCTCATCTTGTGCAGAAGTGACGGTATGGCTGAAGTTTCTCAGAATGAATTTTTTTTCTTTGTTTTAGCCTTTCTGTTCCTTACACCTTCATCTGCAGCTCTCTGAAAACCCTTATTCCTCTGGAAGGATCTCTAGCAAGGACACAGCCCCTGGACTCGTGGTTGCCACAGGTAAGGAACCTTCCCTGGGCTTTTTCCTCACTAAAGGTTTCTGGGGTAAGGTTTGTGGCTTATGTGTGGGTCGTGGATTCATTTGCGCATTAGATGGAAGCTCCCCAGAAAATGAGCAAGATGCTTCAATCCTGAAAGCCCATCATCAAAAACTAGATTGCAAGGAGCCTTGGACAGGTTTAGCTTCTAGGTTAATTCATCCTGCCCCTAGCCCCAGACCAGTCCTGTGAGTCTAGAGAAAGGCCAGTATTCCTGTCAAAGTCAACTGACTGATCAGAGAGATTGTAACAGGGAATTCTCAGTTTGAGAAAACATGCAGTGCGAACTTCCCAGCTCTCCAAATATTAGGTAGGGCAGTTTTCTCTTTACACAGAAGATACTTTCCAAAGGGTTTCACCCCAGAGCTGTTTTTAATCAGGAGGTCTCTGGTGCATGTAAAGGTTTGTTTACCCATGATTAAGCACCTGGCAGAGAGCCTGGGGGAAAGGGCAGAAAAACTTCAAGTTGCATTGTTGGAGCCGCTGTCCACTGAACTGCAATCAAAAATGATGATAAAGCAGCTCTCTGATGAGAACGAAAGTCTCTGGGGGATGTGCCTGGATTAGCATGCATTTTATTTGCATATACCTTTTCTGGAATACATTGTTGGCATAAAGTAAGGCGGGCTTCTAATATTAGAACTTATAGCTCTATGTCAGGTAGCTTTATTTTTCCCTCTCTAATGAAAGCAGATACATTCACAGTGACTTTCTTAGGAAGTAGTTTTCCTCTAGCAACCCAACACTTGCATCTGGATCTGCTGTTCTTCTAGACATGGATTCCAGCTCCAAAGCTCAAATCCAATGAATTTTCAATCACTATCAGCCACCGAGCATGCTAATCAGCTTAGTGGTTGCTGCAGCTAACTGTTGTCACAAGCAGCTTCTCTTTAACAAGTGTGGACAGTATCCAGCATGACTAACACCACTGCTGTTCCCAGAAGTACAGGACAGTGAGATGAGCATAGGCTCTTTTGTTCTGCCCCTAGCTTGGAGAGCGATACCCATACCCATAGGACATGTGAGTTAGTTCTTCAAGCTCAGAGACTGATAGCCCATCTGTCTGTCATCAAAGTCTACAGGAAATCCAAGGCTGGGTCAGATGCTACAGAGGGAAATAGTGATCAGTCATAAATCAGACATTATTTGAATTCTTCTGATGATAGCCAGGCAGTGCTCAAACACTCTGGACTTTTGGGTTTTGACTAGCAAAGTGGCGACAGGAAAACTAATGTAGCTGGATTGCGGGGTTACATGAAGGAATGGATATCCTATGCTTGCAAATGCCCAGGACACATTGGCTACTCTGCATAAGTCACCTATCATCACCCTGTATCCTTGACTTTAAAGCTGCTCTTGTATCAGAAGAAGGAAGTTTAGTTTTCTCCTTTGATAGGACCCATAATCATATGCATCCATTATGCACGCAGTGAAATCCAGGAACCCTATTATCAAGCTCTCTAAGTTAAGCTCTGACACTTGCTAGGTTGGTGCATTTGGTTTAGTTTTTTCTAACTTCTAAGCTTCATGTCCTCATCTGTAAAGCAGAAAGTGTTGTCTTCCTTATGGAGATATTGCAAGAACAGAGAGAAAAGACCACATTTATGAGACTGGAGAAAATACTCAGAGTAGGTGAGATGGTATAACCACACACACTTCTAAATTAGTGTTATACTATGTCTTCAATGAGTTAGCAGGCATTCTGAAATTAAGTATTTATTTTTGAATATTTAGGTCTGTTATCATGATTTACTAATTACCTTCCCTTGCTCACAAACTCCTTGAGGCTTCTTGCCAGCCATGGAACATCGGGAGACCTAAAATAGAGATGACAAGATTTTGAGCTAACTTGCTAGCTTTCACTTCCTTATGACCAGCTTTCTTTACTTTGCTGGCCTTTCCTTTCCTTCAGGAAAACAATTAGGAAGTCACCCAAGTATGCCTTCACTGTTATGCAAGGTTGGGGGTGTTCTTCAGATATCTCTCCCTTGTATGTATCTCTTCTATCAGCCTGAAGAGATCAGAGCCCTGACTCCCACTTTCCCTGTTCACTTCCTCTTTCCAAATTGTCCTGAAAACTGGTCTCAAAGAAGCTGTGGATGAATGTCTGCTCTGATATTCCTTTCAACCTTTTATTTCTTTGTTTTTGTTTTTGTTTTTGTTTTGGCTGTTTTCCCTTAGACCTGTGCCTGAAGAGATGAATTTCCCGACAGATATCTAAAGTGGCTGTCAAAGCTCCTCCCCTCTCCTTTTACACCTACTCCCTGAGCCCTAAGCACTGGGGTTATTTTTAGAAGCCCGCATGTCAAAACAAGTTGGCTAGCTGTGTGCTCCTTGATGCTGATGGGAGCTTGACAAGCTGTAGCCAGCTTTAATTTTTCATTTTGAAGTATTAAATGTCAGGAGCTCAATTAACATTTTCATTATTGCATTTTTATTGTGCTCTTATTTAGGTTACAGATGTGTGGGAGCTAACATTCCCTCTCTGTTATGTTTAATGAAAAATATCAACCAATATGATAAACTCTTATATGTTTAGGGTGCTTTCTTCATTTTAACGTGTCTCCAAGTGCACATCATCCTAGGGACATCATTCAGTTCTTTATTTATGCAGGCAGTCATTCCATAATTATGTATAGTATTGTGCCAGTTGGTATTAGTGTAGGATCTCTGATGAGACTGTCCACTAGGAATGCTAGGGCAACATAAGCAGAGTTAAAGAATCTTACTCTTTTTTTTTTTTAGACATTTGTTTATTTTGTGTGTCTGTGGCTGCACGTGTATGCACTCAAGCCACAAGTGTGTGTATGGAGTCCAGAGAACATTTGAGGAAGTTGCTTCTCTCCTGTCATCAGTAGGTCATGGGGATCAAATTCAGTTTATAAGGCTCGGCAGTGAGTTATTTATTTAACCATTTGGGCCATCTCTTCTGTCCCAGCTGTTTTCTTTTTCTTGTATAGTTTTATTTCTTTTTGAGGTCTTTGAATTTTATTATTCCCAATCTAGACATATGTATGTCATATTTTGGTCACTTTCCCTCCCAAAAATACCGCTCCCATTGCTACCTTCCTCTTCATGAGACCCTTCTTTATAATAAGCTCCCTTATATTTTAACATCCTTCTTATTGTATGATGTAATGGTAAGTCTTTCCGCCAAGCTGCCTGAGTTCTGCCCTCTGTGTTAGGGCCACAAATAATACACAGAGACTTATATTAGGTACAAATGCTGCTTGGCCAAAGACTAGGATTCCTATCTGCTAGCTCAGTCTTAATTATCAACCATACCATAAGACTTATCTTATGGAGGATGCTGGCCTTGTGTTCTGTCTTCCTGGTGGTTACATGGCGGCTCCAGAGCAGAGAGCTGGAGGAAGAGGAAAAACAAGAGAACAACTTCCTGTTTGTCCCTGCTTATATATGAGTCTGCCTGCTATGTCACTCTCTGCCTGGATCATAAACTTCTTTTTACTACATTTCCCAGAATCCTCCCCGACTCCTAGTCCCACCTATCTTGCTTTCCTATTGGCCAACAGTACTTTATTTATCAACCAATAAGACAAACATATACACAGAAGGACCTCCCCCATCAGTCTGAGAATTTAATAAATATATCATACATTTTAGTCAAATCTATATTTCCCCCTTTCATTTCTCCCATCTCCCCACTACTTTCCTCTCAAAATTTAATGTGCTCTTTTTTTTTTTTAACTTACTGAATTCAAGTTGATTCAAGTAGGTCAGCAAATTTACTACTGGGCAGCAAATTTAAGTTGGAAGCATCTACACATACATACACATCCAAACATCCATGCTAACACACACACACACACACACACACACACACACACACACACACACACACACACACACTTTCTTTTCTTAGGCTATAGCTGTATTTGAGTAGGAGAGCTCTGTTCCCATCCTCTATATTCATGTGTACCCTTCTGCCCCTTGCATCTTCAGTGCGCACCGGTGAGGAACAATCTGAAACAGGCTGGGTGGTGAGAGTAAGTGACTTCATCAATCGTCAGTCCCTGAGCCCTACCAGCTGTGTCACTCTGTTCCCCTGCTTTTCTCATAATGAGGTTTTTTTTTATTTTCTTTCTCCTGCTGGGTTTTTATTTCTAGGTGACCTCAAGATAGAGTGTGCACAAATAAACTGTAAGCATCCTTTGGGGAAACTTTACTGTGATACCCTCCTCTAACACTGTGCACACTTAAAATGTGAACTGCCTGACAATTTCAGGTGATCTGCTTATGTTGCAGGCAACATTGGCTCAGAACTCTCCTATACAGATATCGGTGTGTTCATCTCCTCTGACGGGGGCAACACATGGAGACAGGTAAGTGACTCAGGGATATGGGAGATATCTAAAGTAAAGTAGACATTTAGACATCTAGCATCTCCAGATTCTGGGGATTCTTGGACTCCTTATGGCTGTAGTAAAAAAATATTTGACTAGCTCTCCAGTGTACTCTGTCTAACAGGTTTAGAGGGGTAGTGGTGGGTGAGAGGACACCTGAGCCTGTAGGAGGGAAACCTAGACTTAGCCTGGCTGGATATTCCATCCCTTCAACAGTAAGTATGTAGCAGCCTCTGGATGCTAAATGTTGTTCTGGTTCCTGGGGGTACACTGACAGGACTGTTTCTGCCATTAGTGTGCCAAGGAATCTTGGCAAGCAGTCCTCCCTCACCAGCTTTCTTGATCTGCTTTTTCATCTGCAAAGGGGGAGGACTAAAATGTTGAAAATAGGAAAGTTGAGGAAGTCAATGATAATTTGAGAATTACACAGACCCAGCTATCAGTAAATGCAAGACAGCTTAACACATATATGTCTACAAGAAAAATCAGTCCAGTGTTGCAAAAAATAGAACCTCGAGCAGTGACAGCAATGTCCCACATGGCCATTGTGTAGTTGATAGACGCTGAGTCTGAACAGAACTTTTGACTTAATAAGTTTAATGTAAGGAGCCACATGGGACTACTATATTAGTCAGCACAGACATAGTTAATGTCAACAAGGTTTCAGGCAAGAAACTCAAGATTTGACATTCCTTCATTTATGGAGTTCAAAAACCATATGAAGGAAATCATTTCACATAAAACGAAATATAGTTCAGGGTGATTGTATTATTTTAGCTGTCTTATCATTGAAGGAGGGTGAAGAGTTGGTTCTTCTAGGGAGACTAGGAAGGACTTAATAATTAGAGATGACGTTTTACTAAGTCTTAAAAAGAATAAGATTTCTAGCTGGGGAAGAGAAGGGAAAGGCACTGAATGTCTTGATGCAGTCAGTTCACCATTAGCTGTCTTGCTGGTCAAGCTCCAATTGGATGGCAAAATAAAGTCTGGCATCACGATCACCAGCATTGCCATCACCCTCATTGTCACTGCTACCGCCACTCATGTCAAGCAAGCTTGTTTCTAATTTGAACTTAAAAAATGAAAAAAAAAGTGTTACCAGGCACTCACTGGATGCAATAGCTATTTTAACTAGTGTGCAGGTTGCAATGAAGAATATGGCAAATCGTGCTCCAAAGGCTGTAATCAAGGGACTGTGACTAGGGAACAGACATACGAATCGGTGTCAGCTTTCAGAATAGAAGATAATCTGCTTCAAGGGCCAAAAGAGGTCAGCAGCTGCAAAACAACTCATCCAGTATAGATGACAATCACTGTCCAAGAGCCTAAAGAAATTTTTACCTGGCCGGGGAGCCAATGCTGCATTCCCACATGTGCCGTTACCATCTCGCTTTTCTTCCCCTCTTTCTCAAACTGCCCAAGCTTCTGCTTTTCATGCCAGTGACTGTCAGAGGAGGAGTTGGCAATGGATGACAGTGTCAAGAGGGAAGTTTAAGTACCACTTTGTCCTCCTCCCTGACTTCAGTCCTTTATTCCCATTACACCACTTATCACAGAGCTACCCTCTGACTAGAACTACAGACTTCGCCTCTCCATCATATTTGAAATACATGTCAATTACAAACTTAATTCCTTTGCATGTTAAGAGGAGTGGCCGTTAGTAGGGCATTTTTCTTTATTGAAAAGATAAAAGTGAAGAATGATAAAGAAAAGTTTTAAGACTGAGGCACTTACTTCTTTGCTGTGTTCATTTGAGCATATGTTGCAGGGGATCCCATTATCACTACTCATTCCTCTTTTCTACCTGCCAGCTCATGCTAATCCTCTTCTAGTCCTTTCCTCCGAGTCACCATCCTAGCCTCTGTATCTCTGTAATATGAGCCAACACCAGAGTTAAGAACTTGAAGAATTCACAATTTCTGTTTTCCTCTGTGAACTCTGAAATTGGGGATCTTTGTTGAATAAATACTATCCCTGCTTCAAGCTAGAATTGTACAAATCATACACCTTGATAAATATAGAATTATATCTGAAAACATCTTTGTTGAGTCTCTTATATCTTGCTGGTACTTAACATAAAAAGATGGAGATGTGGATCCCCGAATCTGTGGATAGTGAATGGATAGTTTAATAAGATTTGGACAAATGTATGTCTCAGGTACTGGCTTGTTTTAAGGCCCAAGAAAACTATATTATAATGAATATTTGTAAAACATGATTCACAGGCATCAACTTTGGGTCTTCTTCCAACCTCTAGAAGAATCTAGGAAGTAGTACCTATCTATGTCTAAGTGTTATATTGTTCTAGAGTCTGGAGAAATTCTCTTTTTCTCCCTAGACAAATAAACACTAAAAATGAATAAAGGCAAATAAACAAAGATGAGAAAAGCAATTTATAAGAAAGCAAAGATAAGAATTTTTTGAAATTGTACTCTTTTTTGGAGGAAAGCATTACCTATTTGAGCATGCACCATATTGCCTTTCATTCTTGTTGTATTTTTGTTCACATGACTAGTGTGAACTATCCTGGATGTGCCATTTGAGTGGCATAAGGAGAGCTGTGTTGTTCCCTGTGAGCCCAGTTTCTTATTCATCAAATGCAGACAATACACCTCATACCGTCTGATAGAGTCACTGGAAAGCCCAGAATCTGAATGAAACAATATGTGTATGAAAGACTGCAAACTGTTAAGCACTGCAAATGTAAGGCATTGCTATGATTGCTGCTGTTGCTGTTGTTCCAGATCTTTGATGAAGAGTACAATGTCTGGTTCCTAGACTGGGGTGGAGCTCTCGTGGCCATGAAACACACACCTCTGCCAGTCAGGCACTTGTGGTAAGGACAGCTCCCTATCCTATTAATGAGAAAGTCTTTAGTGGAGAAAGTTGGGGGAAGTCATTATGAGTAGTTTTGCATTCTGGTCTCTATTTCCTGAACCAATACTCACTAGCCCACTTTTTCAATATCCTTATATCATCTGCCTCATAGGTAGCAATATGTGTTGACAGGTAAGGCAGAAAAGAATAGAAGGATCAACAAGCCCAGGCAGCCTTGATTTGGATTCCAAATATGAGAGATGCTCTACAGGGATGGTTAGGTTCATGTTAGCAGATACTGAGCACAGTTCTGAATAACTTTAGTTATGATTCTATGACTGTCCCATTATAGATGACCTTTAGGTATCATGTATATTCTTCTAAAGATTAAGGGAGTGATCTAGACTGATAGTCTGGATTTGTAGCTATACGAGACTTAGAAGTAGTTAAAGACATGGTGTAGGCTTAATACTGTAAGTGAATCTGGACAATGAGGAGAAACCAGTGACTTTGTTACAGTTGATGAAAGAAAAATAGCCAGGAAGGGAGAAACCTTGAGAAAGTCTTCATGAATGCTAAAAAAGAGATGATAATAGAATCAAATTATTTAGTCACATCAAATTTATTATGGAGCAAAATACTAAGTGACTAAGTGTCTTGGGGGGGCACTGTCAGAGTACATTTAAAATACAAGTGTAGTTTAAAGAGTTTGTAACTGTTATGTGTAAATAGAATTCTTAATTGATCTAAATAATAAAAAAACAAAGTCAGATATAGAGTCAAATGCTGAGAGATCAGGGAGAAGCATAGACACACCCTACTTCTTTAGACAAGAGAGTGAGTTCCTGTTTCTCCCTGCTTATATCCTGTTTCTGCCTAGTTATTTTACTTCCTGTCTGTCTGTACAGACCTCCAGACCTCTATGGTTAGCTAATGGCAAGCTCCATTCTCTGATCATCAGACAGGCTTTATTTGTACAAGCAAGACATCACCACAGCTATGAATGAACGAATGCACAAATGAATAATGCACAATGAGATAAAATTGAAACAGTTTTGATTGTTCATCTCAACAAAAGAAAATATGTACTGGCGCTCAGAATATAAATACTAATTAATTAATGAGGACAAAGAACAGATTAAGAATGTATCTTGAGGGGTTTATAGCATGATTTAGATTTTTGACAAAGGAGAGATGAGTTTCTTATATGAAAATATCTTAAAGAGAAAGAATTTCAGGCTTCATGTTCAGCTAAATAGTTATTTGTAGGTGAGGCTAGCTAAAGTGCAGATGGTAACATTCACAATGAACAAAACTCTGGGCCCTAGATTTACCAGGCCCTGAATTACCAGTAATACCAACACTTTGGTGAGAATTTTAGTGGAAAGCATCTGGTTATAATCTGAGAGAGAGTTGATATCATGGTGCCAAGTGCAATCTTCAGCCACCATAAGAAAGACTCTTCCTGGTTTGTCCATTTCAAACTATATACAATTGTCACTTTTAAGTCAAAACATGCTAAAATGTTGTCAGTCTCTTAGAGCCTCATTACCACAAGGTAGAATAGTTACATTTGCTACCATATTATTTTATTAGGTGGTTATGTAAGTAATCCTTTTTAGCTTTTTTTATTCATTTATTTTTTACATTCCAATCTCATTCCCCCCTCCCTCCTCTCTTCCTGCTCCCTTGCGTTACCCTGCCACCTCCCATCTGCTCCTCAGAGAGGGTAAGGACTTCCCTAGAAAGTCTACTAAGTCTGTCCCATCATCCTTCTGAGGCAGGACCAAGGCACCTCTCCACCTCTTACAGCTCTGTATATAGGCTGAACAAGGTGTCTCTCCATATAAAATGGACTCCTCTAAGTCAGTTTGTGCATTAGAGTTAGATCTTGAACCCACTGCCAGTGGCCTCATATATTGTCCCAGTCACACAATTGTCACCTATATTAAGGGAGTCAAGTTCAGTCTTATGCAGGATCCCCATTTGTCAGACCAGAGTCAGTGATCTGTCATTAGCTCGGGTCAGCTAATTTTGTGGGTTTTCCCATCATGGTCTTGAATCCATTATTCATATTATTACTCCTCCCTCACTTGGATTGTACTTCAGGTATAAAAAAATCTTTAAAGATAATTTACTATCTTAAGGGTGAATATGTGAAAATTTCCAGTGTAATTATTATTCATTTCCTGCTAAATAATAGTCTGGATTTGTTGAAAGAATATTACATTCTAGGCACTGTTATAAACTTCTCCAACAAATTATTCTTCTCAATCCTAAATATGTGGATATTTTAAAAATTGCCAATATAATGACTTTAAAACACAACTGTATCAAATACCTTACTCAAAGAGTTAGTACACAGGTGTTAACTGGAGGTATCAATGGAGCTCCTGTATGTTAACTGGTAATGTTTTAGCTACAGTGAGGAGCATGTATAGGGGTGGAACATGGTTCTAGCCCTCTGGGAGATGATAGTCAGTACAACGATTTTAGAATAACTCAAAGCAATGTCTGTTATAAGAGCTGACTATGTGATACTGGACAGTGGTCTTCCTACAGCAGTTGGCACTGAGATGATGCTTGGAGGATACAGACAGAAGTGTGAGGCAAGCTAGTGAAATTAAAAACTCTCAGCTAAGGCTAAAATTCAGAAATGTATAGAGTACTCAGAAAACTGTTTTGGAGCCAAGGATGGGGACATGTAAAAGGGGGCAGGATTGAAAAGAACCTAAATGTCATTTAAAGGTGCTATGGTTGAACTGGTAGGTGATCCCTCTCATTTTCAAGACCCATTTCTATCTGTTGAAGGAAGAGTTGCCTTTTAAGGAGGGAGTGGGATTTGTCCCAACAAAGATGAAAGTAAGTCTTAAAACATTTAATTTTTACCAAATGAGGCACTGTCTTGGCTCTGTCATTATGTTTTAGGAACCATCTCCATAACGTTTGATACACAAGTGTAGATTAGTGAATTCCTTCAAGTCTTAGGAGAAGAAAGTAGCCACTGTATCCTATGCTTGACTATCTCAGACTTCTCTTTATCCTTGACTGTGGGGTAGGTTTGTATGCTTCTTACTGCTTTTACTAGCTTCCTGCAGAGAACCTTCCTGGTGCTGACAGAGGAAGGTTTATTGTTTTCTTTTGGATGGAGATAAAGAAAGTAAGCCTATATGATATGAAAGGAGAGCATGGAACCAGGAAATTAGAGAACCTGTTTTTTTTCTTTTTTCTGAGACAGAAAGGGAGTGGACCTAGAAAGGGTGGTGGGGGAAACTGGGAGGAGGAGAGGGAAGGGAAGCTATAATCAGGATATGTTGTATAAGGAAAGAATCTATTTTTAATTAAAAAAAGAACAAATCAAAAATTTAGCCTTCCTTATATTTGACCATTCAACTTGAGCTGTAGATGTCTCTGTGTAGAGACATACTTACTCTCAAAGGAACAACTTGTCCTGGAGACCTTGGAGGAAAATTGGCCAAGTTAGAAAAAAAAAATGCTGAGAATCCACCAAAGGTTCTGTAGTCAGGAACAATGATTCTTACTTAAAATCTTCAATGAAAATTTGAGATTATCATGTTGAATATAGCATTAATAGTAGTGTCATATATCAAATGCAGAAAACTGAATGTATTCACCATAAATAAATGGTTGAGATCCACTCAGTGGATATGCTAATAACCTTGAGTTCGTTATTATCTAGTATAGAAATAAATCGACCATCACACACATTGTGTAAATACCACATCTCAAATTTTTTTCATTTTTTAGAAATAAAATACATGAAAATTTGTAGAGCTTACAAAAGAATTGTATCTTATTGAATTTCCTCTTATAAAATGATACTATTTACCTCACCTAACTTAAAAATACTAAATATTATTTTTAATCTGGGCTTTTAGGATAGTATTATCTTCATTTAAAGGATGTTGATAATGACATTTCCTGAGCTTAGACAGGGATGGAGATTTTTGTTTAGTCCTGTCCATCAATCCAGTTCTCAGGAGAAAAGAAATAATTTGCATTTGCAAGTGGATAAATGTCAGCTATTGAATGTGTATGAGAAACTACTACAACAAATACAAATTCTCTCAGAAATTGTCCTTTGTGTGTTTTCTTGAAGGCTGTGGGAGTGTTTTGTAAGGGCTTGACCATGTCATTATCATCAATGTTTTCTTATAAAATGGTTGACTAATTTTTGCCTCTTTCAAGCTTTTGAAACACAAATACAGTTCCTTTCTTGCTAGTAGATTCTAATTAAGCTACAAACTCCAAGGCTAAATGAAATAGCATGTTTTAAGAGGAAGGAAGATTAAGTGGTTCCTTCATTTTTCTTATGGACCTCAGACTGACATCATTGTGCATACAGATGTATGTATGCATATATGCACAAATGAAAAGCATTAGCTTACCCAAGGGTGTGAAGGTTCTCAGACTTAAATAATAGCTATATTGCTTTGCAGAGAAAATAGGAGTCATAATTGAAAATCTGGGGAAACTTTAGCTAGGCTAACAAGGCATGTGGTTTCCTACAAATTGAAAGGATATATAGCTAGATAGGCATGAAGACAAAACAGTGTATAGGTTGATGCATTCAACTGTGACCATGTTACTTTGGATGAACAGAAATTAGACCCTAAGTGCTATTTCAGGTAAGCACTGAATCCAGTATTACCACTGTTCCTTAGAAATATTAGAGGGAAAGGAGCAATAGGCTCCCACTGAATGTAGTCTTCCAGTGAAAACTCACAATGGACAGGGTGTCTAACTGATAGGTAGGTTGAGGCGTGATGATTGGCTAAGCCATGACAGACTGTCCTGTTTCCCTTCAATGTTCTTGGAAAGAGAAAGGGAAACATCACCTGGCCTTCTGTGTTCTTTTGTTCATCTATACATGGCTGAGGATACTAGCACCTTGTTTTGTTCAGAGAAACATTTCTACAAGAACAATAGTTTGAACCAGTACATGCCTCTGAAAAGGATCATTGCATGTGTTATTCTGAAAAACTTCCTGGCGGCCAG